CTGCCATGTGGCTATTTCGCCAGGATATGAGTTTTATCAATGGTGTCCCGCTTTACCAATGTTAAAATCTGGTCACCTTAGGTTAGCAGCCCATCAACGGCGAAAGGGCAGGAGTGAGAGTCCCACACTCAGGCCAAGGCCCTGCATGGTTGCGGGGGTGAGGGGGGCTGGTCCAGGGGACCACCCAGGGTCACTGAGAATCTGGGGCCTCCTGGGGAGGCGGCTGGCGGCTTGGGGTCTGTCCGTGGACAACCAGGACTCCGGCCGGTGTGTCTGCGAAGGCCAAGAGGCTGCCCTGGCTGAGGTGGCGGCTGTTCCCAGGGCCCTGGTCCCCTCCCCGGCAGTGAGCGCGTGGAGAAAGCGGCATTGTCCGCCCGGCCACACAGGCGCATTCATCTCTGTTGTTTGCAGGCCCGGCAGATGTGAGGCCGTACAATGGGACGCCCTCTGAGGACACAGCGGTGACAGAGCCCGGTCACACAGCGAGCCCGAAGAATGCCTGGCCCAGGGCCAGTCCAGCTGACCCCGCGGGCCGCCCCCAGCTGGCCCGCCTCTTTTCCCGAGATGCCCCGGGCCGTGAGGACAACACCTTCAAAGACAGACCCTCGGAGTCAGAGGAGCTCCAGCCCATTCCAGAGGACAGCAGCACGGCGGACAGCGTGGCTGCGATGGCGTCACAGAAGCGGCCCTCCCAGCGGCACGGCTCCAAGTACCTGGCCACAGCAAGTACCGCCGACCATGCCAGGCACGGCTTCCTTCCCAGGCGCCGAGACACTGGCATCCTGGACTCCATCGGGCGGTTCTTTGCCGGAGACAGGGCTGTGCCCAAGAGGGGCTCCGGCAAGGTGAGCGCTCGGGAGTAGGCAGGCAGCAGCCTGCAGGGGCGTGTGCTGCACCCACCTCCCTGTCATCCGCCGGCTGTGTGCACCCTGTGCAGGCCGCACCTAGCAGGTGTGATGTCTCTGGCCAGCAGGGTGGCCCTGGCTCCTGTCTGCCTGCACCCAGGAGTGACTCAGGGATGCCAGGGCACACTGGACTCTGCAGGGTGGTGGGCACAGCTGCCCAGTGCCCATCCCTGGCGTTCTGAGGGCGCCCTCTGTGCTGGCCACAAACCTGCTGCTGTCACTTCTCGTGGCTTCTGGGCCGCATGCTGCCTGTGACAAGAGTCTGCTGGAGGCCGAGGTGGGCTTTAGAGCCCCCTCCTCAGTGCCAGGCCTGCCTTTGCCCAGAACTAACCTCTTATTTTGTCCTGGTTGCTTGGGGGGTGGGAGGGAGTATAGGGAGGGACACGCGTGTGGGTCTCTGAGTCGGAGCGTTCTTGTTCTGGTTCTTGTTCTGCCCGTTTGCTCGAATGTACGCCGTGCGGCTTCCCTCTTTGAAAGTAGAGTGTCGATAAGATAGCATGCTTTCCGCTGGCCTTTTGGTCCGTGTGTCCCTACAGCTCAGCCTGGCACCCAGCGCCTCTTCCACACAGAGTGCTGGTGATTCTGGAGGGGAGAGAGAGGAGGAGGTTGAGTGTTGCCCATATCTGCGCAGTCCGTGGGTGATCTGACTACCATGCTGGATGCCACAGTGCCCAACTGTGTGCCATGTTCCTACGAGAGGTCTTGGGGACCGAGTCCCTTGGAACCCAGGGCGTCCCTCGTGGTGACAAGCCGTCGCTAAAGCCCTTGCGGCCTGGACGGGTGGCACTCCTCAGGTGTGCTGGGGGGTCTCCTCCACTGGTGGGGGGTCTGCACACGTCTGCGATGAGCAGCAGCCGCCCAAAAGTGGGGTGAAGGCGTGGCTGTCTGTGGTCTTGCTGAGGGACCCCGGGCCGTGGCTCTCTGCTGGTGGCAGCGGGTGGGCGTCTGGGCCTAGAGGCCTTTGGCTTCCTTCCCCTCCCCTGGTCGTGTCCTAACTCACTGGGAGTCCGAAGGAGGTGCGTGTTCTATTCTCTGTCCCCACCGGTCTCGGTGCACGCAGGTGAGCCCCACCCCACGGGAAGGCTCCTGCTTCCTCTGGTCTCTGTGACTTTGGGTGGGTGGGGCAGAGCAGTGGGGTTACGCTGTGTAGAAATATGGGCTGTACAGGCATGGAGAGCAGGTGCCCACACCCACAGCCACCAAGTCGGTCCTGACCCCCAGGCCCCTTGGTGGGGTCTCCAAGGTTGTCAGTCTTTATGGAAGCAGACGGCCACATCTCTCTCCTGAGAGACAGCTGGAGGGTTTGAACCACCGACCTGGCAGTGAGCGGGGCTGACACATGAAACCCAGCTTCAATG